GTGGGGGGGGGGGGGGAAGCATGTGATCATGTGAATGTACACTATGGATTATAATGAATGCAGATAGGCTAAATTAAGGCTGCACAAACAGCCTTAACATTTGAAGAAAAAGCTTGAACATATGACCCCAGTATACATGAAGGCTTAAAAACCAGAAGGTAGAGAGAAATCGCCCCTGATGTATTATTTTTAAAAGAAACTCATTGCTGTAAAGCCAGACGTGTGTGTGTGTGTTTTATTGTTGTTTTGGGGGTGGGGGGGGTTGTTTAACATGCCCAAAGCTAGTGAGGCAGGTCTGGATTCACTGATGTGATAACTCCAATGTGAGTTTTCCTTGTCTCGGCTGGCTCTGAGATTTAGATAATGCAGTGTATGACATTGGTTGGTAGCTGAGGAGCTGTGCCCCCCCCCCACATCAGCTGCTGTGCCTCAGTGCTGTAAGACTGACAGAAGAACCAGGCCCGATTAGTAGGTATTTCCTTTCTTTGCTGCTCATGTCTATAAACACTGTTTTGTTTTATTTTCTGTATTGGTGGTGTACCCAGCTCACTGAAGCAGAGTGGAGGCTGTTTCCCAGTCTCTGCCAAGGGCTTTCATCCTGGCAGTGACAACAGGCAACGCCAACTGAGAGAGAGGGCTGCCTGTAGCTCTAGGCTCAGAAATGCCAAGTGTAATTAACGTTGATCTTCTAGCGCTTCTCACGGCCTGTTCCTGTGCAGGAGTGATGTCCTTCCCTATCAGAGAGTAGAGCTTTGGCAAACGGTTTCAGTTAAGCATAGAAATAAGCCAGTTTGCAGCTGCTCTCGTCCTGGTTTGGGGTTCCATGAATGGCTTCCTGTGCTGCTAAATACCTTGCAACAGAAAGAGCGAAAGAGAGACTGAAACAGGGCACCATCTCAGAGCACCAGTGCAACCCAGCACCATGTTCCAAGTGGCTGAGCCTAGTGACCGAGGGTCATGCAACAGCCCTGGCAGTGTTAATCCAATAGAAGGGCTGTCAGACACAGAGCTGCTGGACAATAAGGATATACAAGTAGCTCTTGTTGTGACCCAGCTCAATGAAGAAAGGCCAAACAAGGGATCTTGGGGAGGAAATATAGCAAATATCCAAAGAACGGAGCTGGCACAAAATGGTTCTTTTAAATCAAACACGCCCTGGTGGAAGGGGCCAGCATTCTGATGGCGTTGGGAGCATGTTTGATTGAGCTGCTGCTAAGGTGGCTGACCAGCATAGAGGGATCTTGGTGTTTGGGACTGGTGGCCTATTAAACACTCACTACAGTAATTACCTAATGTGGGGAGTGAAGGGCTTGGAATGGTTGACTCTCAAGTCTTTCCTTTGGTTTGATTTAACCAGCAATGTTACACTGTTGGCATGGCCATCCGTTCACTTCTCACCTTGGCCCACAGCCTCATGTGGGTTCCATGCAGCTCATCACTCCAGCACAGTGTCTGCTTCCCCCTTTGGTCTCAGCAACACGTGAAGCCAGAGACAGCTCCCGTTAGAGGGGTGCAAACACCCAGGTGTAATTGAGCACTCTCTAGTTTGTGTCCGAGCACCGTGCTAGGAATTTTGGACCAGCTGCAGGGAGTAAAGCCTGGTTTGATGGAAGTCAATGGCAACAATTCTTTTTAACTCAATAGGATCAAAATTTTGTTTGAAAGGTGTATGCAGCTTCACACCTTTGTAACACCTGTTGCCTGTGATGCTAGAAGTGTTTAGTCAATGTATTAATTAAACCTCATAAAATAGGGGAGCAGAGCAAGGTGAAGTGAGTCATCTCTGAACTCATGGTAATTAACTGCCAGAACCAGAGTTGGATCTCGCATCTCTTGATTCCCTTCCTCTCAGCAATGGTTTGTTTGTGGTCTGGCTTTTGAGTCATCTGACCAAGACCTAGGTGCACTGAGGCTTCC